ATGATTATGATACATTTTTATTATTATTTTTTTAAGTTGTAAGTATTACATTTTCTAAATTATTTATATTTTAAGTTATATATATTTATTTCATTTAAATTCTAATCTAATCTCAATTATTATGTATATAAGTACTAAATTTTCATTTCAAATCTCTTATGGTTAATTTACTCTTTCGATGTTAAAACTTGAAAGAAGACAATATGAAATGAAATTAAAACTGACTGACGGAAACGTGAATTAGTCTTCGGAGAACTAAAACTAAATAAACTGGATGTAGGCTCACTACAGTCAATTCTGTTTTCACCATGTTCAGAAACCAAAAAAAAAAATTGTAATTTAATCACAAAAGTTATTCGGGAACAGAGCGTATAGTTCCCTAAGATCGGAAAAGGAGGATCCTCCGACCAGGCGAGGTGATAGTGGCTGGCGGGCGTTCTGCCCAACAGTTGTTCGTTGGAATTTTCTATTTAATTCGCATGTAAACTTCGCATGTGCGATGTAGGACTTTGGGACACCCGTTGAGTTATGACATGTATTTGATGAATAACTGAATTTTCTTTATTTTTTTTTTAATAATAATAAAGTATAATGATAGGTTGTATTTTGTTAAAAGATATTATGGGGTTAGCATCTCAAAGATAAAACGCCGTTAACAAAAAACAGATATAAAAAACTGACTGTTTAACGGACTAAATTGTTGACTTAATCAAGAACTTAAGTTTCAAGTACCTAGTACTTCTAGGTATAAATAAAAAATAAGTGTAAAACTTGTTGAAGTACAGTTTTATAGCACATGGCTCGTGAATAATATTTCTTAAAGTAAATAATTAAAATAGTTATGAATAATTATATCCTTAAATGTGAGACCTTTTTTTTCAAAGGGGAAAAATCATTGAATGACTTCTCCCGCCTGGGTGACAGGTTGAGACGGGAGAAGTATCAGACATTGACTAATGTGAGACCTACAAAACTATTTTAAAGCCATCAGCTATCATTTAACTTCAGTAGCAGTAGTTTGGCGAAAAGTTGTGCACCTTTCTCCACAACTCGATCTTACGTAATGTTAATACATAGTTCTCAAGTACCTAAGCTATTACCTCAACAAGGCACTAGGTTCCAATTAGAAGCCTGCACTTCTCTATGCTCACCTAACGAAGGTGCACTATCGATCCGGGTCATTGACCCCGTTGAGAACGTTCTTGTAAGCTCAGTGAGAAGTCTACAATCTCAGGATGTGTATATTGTTATGTTAGAACTTATAAATGGTTCTAGGAAAGGGGAGATGGGAAAATCGACTTACGGCTGTTTAATTTAAGTGTTTGTTTGGAATAGTATACTGTACAAAAATATAATTATATACTAAGTGTTTTTGTACATTTAGGAGTTCAATCACATGATCTAGTAGAACAGGATTCCGTCATGAAACTATAGTTAAAAGGAAATATATTTAAATGCAATGAAATCAATTTTAGTCACTTACTAGAAGTTTAAAGTTGTACTTAAATATCGTGCTATCTCTGTTATTGTACAAAGAACTTGTAGTGACAGAACTATATTTAAGCGCGACTTAAAATTTAATCATCATCATATCAGCCACACGACTTCCTCTGCTCCCTGCGACCTGATCAAGATCGCACTGCTCGCCATCGACAGGAAGTTCACGCTCCCACATTGGAGCCCAAATGGTCCCGTACAGTTCGGTTTCAGAGGAATTTTCTCCCACGGACCTTCCGATTGTGGAATGAACTCCCTGCCATGGTTTTCCCAGTGGGCTATAACATGGGGTTTTTCAAGAGGGGAGTGAATAGGTTCCTTATGGGTCGGCAAGACGCATGTAATGCCCCAAGTGTTGGAGGCGTACTTAGGCCACGGTAACGGCTTACCATCATGTGGGCCGTGAGATTTTTGCCACCCTCGTGGTATAAAAAAAATCAGGTTGTCGATCCACCTTGCGGATGGACGTCCTACGCTGCGCTTGCCGGTATATGGCCTCCACTCAAGAACCTTTCAGCTCCAGCAGCCGACAGTTCTCCGCGCTATGTGCCCTGCCCACTGTCACTTTAACTTGCTAATCCACTGGGCTATGTCGGCGACCTTTGTTCGTTTACAGATTTCCTCTTTGTTTATCCGATCTCGTAAAGAAACTCCGAGCATAGCCCTTTCCATAGCACGCTGAGTGACCTTGAGCTTCTTTATAAGGCCCACAGTGAGAGACCATGTTTCAGTTCCATAGAAAATTGAGTCCCGTTTGAGTATTTCAGCTTATGGCGTTCAAAAAACAAGCATTTGTTTGTTAACTTTTATATCAGTATACTACCTATACTATTTACTAAACTATTGATAAACACAACTCCATAAATCTGACTAAAGTAGGCTAACGAGGATTTCAGCGACAACTGTGGAATGCGGTGACTCGGTTTTTCTGCTGCCAACTGACCTCTTACACGTATTGTAATAAGTAGGACGATACGGTAGAGTGGATAGTGTTTTTTTGGCTATTTATTAAAAATCGAAATCGAATATTGGGTCATATATAAGGTACTTCTCAATATAGACATAGATTAACTCACTTTAGACCAGTTATGTATAAGCCTCGTTTAAAAGGAGGTGAGTTTACACCGAGTACAATATCAGACGCCATTGTTATTGCTAAATATTTATAAACAACAATATTTTTTCGTTTTAGTCAAAAATGCGAAAGACAATCAATGCTTGCATTGTGTTTGGTCGTGTGAGTGAGGTAACCAGAGACCTAAATCTCCTCAATCACCGATTCTACAACTATTCTTAAATTTCTAATGCCCAAAAGGCCGGCAATGCATTTGTAACACCCCTGGTGTTCCAGGTATCCATGGGCGGCGCCGATTGCTTACTATCAGGTGATCCGTCTGCTCTTATACCGGCTTATGCCAAAAGAAACAAAAAAATGTGTGGAAACTGAAAGCCGTTCAGCTTACAGTTCATTATTTCACATAACAAACAACCATTATAAAGTATTTTACATGAATGGACAGGCCCAGGTTCATAAAGGCACACGGTAAAGGATTTTTCCAGGAATGTGGGTAGGCAGAGGAGTGTAAACTAACCACATCATAATGCCATGAATGAGCCCTGTCTAGTGAAGCCGCGACCCTAATGTTCAAAGTGAGTGGTGGAAACAATTGACCATCGGGGGTTGGACGAAAATGTAGTTACGGGTAAAAAGGACTGAAATTTGTTTTTGTTTTCAATTGTGATTGTATATTGTCAGTTTGGAACCGTTGTTTGTATAGTATACCTACTTAAATTACCTCTTTTCCCGAGATTTTACAGATTTAACTCGTCGAGTACCGGTTTTGTAGACTGTATAATGACGGTACTCGACGAGTTAAGACTTCAAAAATACCGTTGTTTATTAAATAAATGAAATATAATATAAACTAGGATGTGTAAGTCACACACCGAACATGACATCTACGAAACTCACCATACTCACTGTTTAAAGTCCCAGAGAGCGACAGATCACAGTGAAATTAGAGAAAAAACAACTACTTTTGCCAATAAAATCAATTGTACTTACTACAAACGAATTGTGTGTTTAACAATGCGCCTTTTAAAAACTTTTTAGCAAAAAGACTCAGCGCAACATTGTGCCTTATTGTACCAAACTAGTCGACTACTTTCTAAGGTTTTCAATGGAGCAAAAATCGTACAACTTTGTGATCAACTATATCTTCGTATAATATTAATATCAGTTCACTTTTTCAATAAAACTGCACTATCAATTTCTATCTGCATCACCTTGAAAACGCAACGATAAATACAGAAAGCGGCCATATTGAAAAAACGTATGGGCATTCATCCGAATACACAATCCACCCCAGCACTGCAGTCCAGCGTAACTAGAGCTCCCCCACCCCCCCATTACTGAATGATTCGAGGTAATGTGGTGAGAAACTTGCTAGCGTCAGGGGTCTTGTTATATTGGATGTATTTCCTTTTATTTGCTCATGCTACCTTTGTTGACACTGCTCTTTAGCTTCAGTGCAGACGATTATTGAATCAATATTTTTGTGCTAGGTATTAAAATGTTTAATATTTTATACGATGCTAGTTCATTATCATTATAATAGATATGATAATCAGCCATATATGACGATTACTACTGAACATAGGCCTTCAGCAGTGACTGTCATGTTGTGCAGTTGGACGCGTTCAGGCAATAACGGAACATTACGATATTATGGAGTTAAAATAGTAAATCTGGTTAAAAAATTACAATACAAGAGAAATATTGTACAAAAAGATCTTCCCGTACCGGGAATCGAACCCGAGCCTCCTGGGTGAAAGCCAGGTATCCTAGCCACTAGACCATACGGGATACTGACGTTGGTACTGAAATTATAAACTAGTTGGTACTAGGTAGTATGTTAACAATAATTATATTTTTTTTATTTTAGAATTAAATTAAGAATATTGATTTTTAAATTAATGACATAAAGTTCTGTTATAAAATATACTATGTTCTAACATGTAACAGTCTAATTTTAAAACGTTTCCAATAAAAATTACAATTTTGTTATTAAATAACAACATGTGTTTTATTAGAATACACTAATGTTTTACCAATTTACTGTAAGAAAAATATTGTATTTAATTTCATAAGATGTACACAAAATTATTTGCAGACCAAAATCTATAAGATTAACTAGTAGTGACATCTATACTTTTTATCACGAACTGGGCAGAGGCATTGACTTTAGTCTGTGTAGGTATATTATAGTCTGACCGCTAGATGGCGTTCGTAAATACGGTTCACGGCAGTATAGGTAGATGGCGTTAGTAGGCTTTAGTAGAAAAATTATAAAATTAGGAAGTTGTAAATAATAAAATGTTCAGATAGTACAACTTAATAGTCATTTAAGTATTTTAAATACTATCAGTAAAAAGATGAGAAGTGAGGGATTTCATTGAAAAGCCTTTTTCATTGCAGTAATAAGTGATATTGTTAGATTTTACATAGACATAAGTAGATATAACATGAAGCATTAATGTAAACACATTTATATAAATATGAATATCTCTTTATTTTTAACAATAAACTCTAGACAGGAGGTATTTATCACTTACATTTTATCTATTTACTAGTTTGCCACGTACATACATAGGAATTGTAACATTGAATCTAGTTGATACAGCTGGGATCTTAAGAAGTACTGTAGGATCTAATTTACAATAAATATTAAGCGTTTTTAAGACATTCGTGATTAAATCTTACAACTTGAAAGATATTTAAGTAATGATATTTTTAATACTGAAGGAATACTGACACCGAAATGGAATGAAATATGAAGAAGGAATCTAACATACGAAATGACTAGTGATGACTAGAATAGGTTTAGGTACAACATCAGACTCGTAGAAATGTATCAAAATCAGTCAAATATACTTTTCGTTTTTCATAAAAACTTTTACTACAGGGTCAAAATTGAGATCGTTTGGAAATACACAAATTATATCAGAAGAATCGATTTATAGAAGTCATTCTAAAATATAGTAGAAGTATTTGTTTAGGCTACTCTACTGACAAGTATAGATATAACAATTTCTTTATCTCTTGGTTACCACCAGGTATCTATCACTGGGAATGCATCGCTAAGCGCATAACAGACAATATAATCCATTTAAAAATACATAATTACAACATGGATGTTATAAAAACTGACTAGAAATATATCACGTTAAGCGTTAATTTGAATAAATTTGACTATATGCTATAGTATAATGGATGACTTAGTTGTCCAATGGAGCCAGCCAGACTGATGGATAAGCGTATGAAGGTACTGCATAGAGATGTGGTTCATGGATCTGTTAGTCCACCTCAGTGCAGTATTCGGGTGGTTTATCCTAAATTTAGTGGGCATCTCGTCGCCTCCTTCCTGGGCCTCCGGCGTAGTTGGCTGCTGCCAGTCCCATGAGGTGCTTAGCTTGAAGGGCACCAGAGTATCCACGGCTGAGGCCAAGATCAAGGGCTCGTTTCTCGCTGGAATTTGAAGGGAAATGTTAGATACAGGAGTCGTGACGGTTTATTAGAGAATTACTTATATTTGTGTCTAGGAGCGGTTATAAGTTCGCTTGAGTTGCTTGATATATGCTGATGTATGGGGTTCTAGCAAAAAATTATGCATCATTGTTAAAAATACAAAAGAGGCCGAATGAAATGCAAAATGATACTAAAAAGAAGCTAAAAAAACAACATCGTCTAAAAAAGACAAAAACAATGTTTAAAAATATTATCATAAATATTTTTGTCAAGTGTAGGAATTGAACCTCTCTCTGTACTAAAAATAAGTCAAACGAATAAAGTTTTGAGCATAAAAAAGATAAATGATATTTAAACTGTAACGTGCAGAAAATTTTGTTCAGCAATTTCGACGTTTAATATGAAAACGCTGACTCCAATGTTCACGGGACTGTGTGTAGTAACGCGAATGCTTCCCTGAAGTGCTGTAAATTGTTTCCCTGAAGCGCATGAAAATTTTCCACTGGTTTAAAACAAAATAAATGCTTGTTGCAAATCGTTGACATTTTTTTCTTTTACAACTTGCTTGAAGTCAGTCTTTTTGTTTTTTTACTTTATTTATGTTTTGCCAGATCACAGCGAATCACAGATTTCAGTGGTGATTTTAGTTAAAAAATATTAAATACTCGCTTGATTTTTTATTGTATTGTATATCTTTTTGAGAATTATGCTTTCAGTAAATCTTTTATTAAATGCTAGGTGCTTTTTGTCCCCTTTCACATACATAATATCATTCAGAGAATATTTGTAGCTTTCAAAAAATTATTAGATTTATATTTCCCCAAAAATCGTCTGTCTATAACGAGTACTATCGGGAGTTAGCTGAGTTCAAATAAATATCTCTTGGGTATAACGCCATATTACTATTTGGTCTACAATATAGTAAAGGCAATAGCGTTGTTATATTTATTGGTTTTGTTACTATTGTTTCCTAGAAACAACGCCACTGAAACATTAAATTTATTTTTCTGGTTCCATCATACACTTAATTTGATTTTCAAGCAAAGAATTCTAATAAGCGTAATTATTAAATATTGTTATCCAAAAGACAGGAAAATAATAAAAAAAAAACAAGAATAGTTCTACAGAATAAGTTAAAAATGGAATCCAAGACGTCCTTGCAACAATCGTAGATGTAATAAAGCTAACCGAATTTGAATTATACAATCAAGCGAAGCAGCTAGCAGGTACAGCAGCTAACGTAATAAAAGATTAACAAGTTGATTAAGTAAAGACAAGCTGGAAACATTTTAATAATTTAAAGTAAATAGAACACGTCCATGCAAGTTTAAATACAAATGTTAAACTACTACAAAATAAAAATGAAAAAGATAATTTTAAAGAAAAATAAGCACATATAACTACAACTGTCTAAGTACGACAGACAGACGTACCTAGTAATGTCTTCTTTATAGCTGCAAAGAGATAAAAAGATATTACATAAGTAGAAGATAACAATGTAAATGGTGATGAAATTTAAGAATAATTTGTACAATTCTACGTTTTTAACATATTCGAATAGATAGATGAATTGATGAAAGAGAAATTACACCTAATCATTTAGAGGTAAGATGAGTAAATTATATCCATTTCGAGAGGTTATTCCAGATACCTATTGAATGTTTCTACAGTCTCGATGTTATTCCAAATTCAGTCTTATTTAAATATATATAAATGAGAAAATCAAAGATTTCCTTTGGAATGCAGTTTATTAAAAATCTAGAAACACCATTATTAAAGTTTAACAATTTCATCTGGCATCTACACCATTTCGTCTTTCGTCTTTTCTTTTACCCCAAATATTTTATAGTGCTATATATTTGACGCTAGTGATTTAATGCTAATTAGTTTCTGAACTTACTTTTCCATTTTGCGTTCCATCTGGATGAGGTTTCCGAGGCGGTTCAGCATGTCCATGATCTCTTCTGGTTCGTATTGAATGTCTTCACGGAAGTAGTTGCTCGGACTAGAAAATAGACAAGTGTGTGTTAAACATTTTGAAAGAATTATACTGTTAGGAATAGGCACGGGAAAAAGTATTCCCATTATTTGACTCATTCGTTGTTACTGTTACATTTTCGTGTTTAATTAGATATAGACTTAAAATAAATCTTAATCGGACAGGCAAAATTCAATTTTAATTTCTACCCATTATGGTATCATGCTCGAAATCAAAATATGCTTGAATCTTGTCGATAATATAATACAGTAAACAAGGAAAATGCATTTGGAAGTAACACTTCTTTGCAAATCGAGTCACGTAGAAGAAACTTTTAATTTATGAATTTGAACCTTTCAGTAGCATATCGCCTCAACAAATCAACTTCGCCAGTGAAACGGATAATTTTATTAAATGGATAGACAGCAGCATCTATCATACTACTGCTCGGTCGTGATGCTGAATAATAAATGGCGTATCTAGAGCCCTACGTGTTTGACTTCTGACATCAGTGGCGCCTACATTTAGGACTATAACGCCCGTATTTAATAAAGAAAGGTCCAGTCATTTATCGATGTGGGACAAAATTCTTATATGACTGATGGAGTATCACGTCACTTCATAATCAGTAATAGAAACACTACCATTTGATAAGGCAAGGTCAATAATAGTTTATTGTTATAGAAAACCCAATTTTGAAATTTCTATGCATCTTTTGGAGAAAATTTAGGGACTGAGGCACACTAAGTCTGAAATTTCTAAGCGTCAGTGTCGATTGCTATTTTAAAAATAATAAAAATATTTAACGATGTTAATAACGAACTGTAAATTATACCACTACCTGGGGTATGCAGAGGCGGGCATAATGAGGAGCAGAGTCATGAGCACGCAGCTCGCTAACAGGCAGCTTGCACGCACCATCCTGGAACAAACGATAAAAAAAAAACTCTTAAGAACTCATTTGAAAATAATATCTACAAATATGGAAAAAAATATGGGCGGAAGAAAAAACCACAAATCTCTTTAAGTAATATGGTTGCAATTACAGAATACTTTTCGACCATGGAAAAAACCTAAAAACAATATCTTTTCCGACAACAATACTCTTTATATCTTTAAACATAGACGAAACAGATGCTGATAATGAATGAAATCAGAACAAGCTTGATTCAAAATTGGACAATGTCCCGCCAAATGATAAATTGGAAAAGGCTTTTAATAGAATCAACGTCAATACCGATGAGAATTTAACTGACAGTGAACATTTCAATTTTTGAGTAAACTGTCAAAACTGATCGCGTAACATTGAGTTATTTTTATGACAAGTGGTGAATTGGAAATTGTTGAATTTGTTCATTCAAAATGGCGGCGGCCACGCTATGAGTTGTGAGAATAACGTATTAATTACAATGCTTTTAAAATGTCATTTTGTATTGGTGTTGGTAAAGTTCGGAAGTAGGTGTTTCTTTTACAATTTTTCGTATTAATTTTCCCTAAAGCAATTTAAAGGTCTTGAATTTAAGGTCACCGTTTGTTGATTTGAAATAATGAGGATAATTTTCAGAAGCAACTGTTAAAGGATACTTAATGGATGAGGGATACTTTCACTTTACCCCATTAATACAAGGACACGGAAATTGGGAGTACGGATTTTGGCTCGTCTTTTCAAAGGAGAGCACAATAGCGTCATAGTCTTATATAACTGCCGGACCATAAAACAAAAATGCTTTGTGCTATGTATCTTCAAACTATATACGTTTTGTTTTACATAACGAGACTGATATACACCGACATCTCATTTCAGAATAAAACATTTAAAGATCACAGCCCTAAACATAAATATATAGAATTCATACATTTTCTTATCAACGTTCTACTCCATTAGATTGAACATGAAAAGTTTCATTCAGTGCTTTATCAAAAGGTTTCAGTTCTATTGTGTAAACTTTAACTACCTACCATTAAAGTTTATCCTGAATAGTAATTTGTATAAAGGACTGTTGCGGTGCACTTAAACTTAGTTCTCGGTTGCACTTTGCAAGTGAGGATTACAATCAGATTTGTGCTGTTCAGTATCAGAGTTTCTCTGGATTGGCCTCAAAAAGATCCATTTACCTCTTACATGCGATATGGTGAGTTCATCCGTTTAGAAACGTAAACTGCTATCTGTATCACAAATGTCAGTTGAGATTTAGTCTTCAATAACCATTTATTTTGTGACATGTACATATGTATACTATGTTTTTTTTTAAGGGGGGAAAATCATCGAATGACTGCTCCCGCCTTAGTGTCAGACTCTTACTGACTAAAAACCACCCCGTTCCTTCTCCTGCACGTCGAGCCGGAGCCCTGGTAACCCGTTAGGTTCTCCGCGACATGTATACTATGTATAGGTTTCATAAAACCAGTTTGTGTGATTAACTTGTCTTTTACGATATGGTTACAGGCATTGATTTTTTTTTTAATTTTATGAAATAATATTTCGACTACAGCGTCAGGTTGGTCTGGTGATCTGTGGTACAGGTATTACCTATAACAGACACCGGTCTTAGATATATTTGTGAAATTGTTTGATTGCCTCGTTGGCCGAGTGGTCGTAAGTGCTACTAGGCAAGAGGTATTCGATTCCCGGGTCGGGCAAAGTATTACTAGGTTTTTAAATATTCTCAGTAGTAGCAAGGAGTCTGGAATTGTGCCCGGTATATGGCAATAGGCTCACCCCCTATTACATGGGACTCATAACATAAATAGTGAAAAGTGGGTGTTACATTGTACAGTGGTATAATGTACACCTCTGCCTACCCCTTCAGGAATAAAAGGTGTGATGTTATGTTATGTTTGCAAATCATTAATTGAAGATGAGAGAAATAAATTAATATTATAATTATATTTTAAGTTTCTAGAGAATAATTGTGTGCAAACTGTTTCTTGACTAATTTAGCAAGCACAAAACTTTAAAAAATATACCATAAAGGACACCACAAAAGTATCAAATAGATTCATCATCTATCCATTATAATTGTAGCTAAAATCCTTATATCCACAGAACAATTTATCATGGCCTTTTTAAATGAATTGTCATGTCATTGTCGTTAGCTTTTTAGGTTCCCTATTCAGACTGACAAACTGACAAATTGCGTACATTATCCGCATATAAAATCTTCTTAAATAAGCTGCCACCTATTGTACCGTTATGAAGAGCTAAGCTATAATTAGCTTAAGCTCGTTAGGTTCTGTTATTTAGTTTTAAGCCTTATTGAGTTTAATTTGTACTCATTAGAAGTCTAGGTGTGCTAAGCTAATGAAGTCTGATCGAATTACTTGTACAAACGATGTGTTGTGGTTGGATTAGTGGCAGTATAATCACCTTCTGGTTTTAGTAAGTAAATAAGTTTATTATTTTATGACACCATATTAGGTCCAAATTATTATTTGCAAGCATTTTTTATAAATACTGGAGACGCTCTTTCAAATGACAAACATTTATTTTATTGGCTGTCTAAATAGGTGTAGGTGTTATTAAAAGACTGCCTCGTTGACCAAGTGTGACTGCCGGGCAAGGGGTCTCGGGTTCGATTCCCGGGTCGGGCAAAGTATTACTGGGTTTTAAAAAAAATCTCAGTAGTACCACGAAGTCTAGAATTGTGCCTGGTATATGGCAATAGGCTCATTCCCTATTACATGGGAAAAGTGGGTGTTACATTGTAAAGTGGCATAATGTGCACCTCCAACCCCTTCGGAAATAAAAGGCGTGATGTTATATTATGAATGTTATGTGTGTTATTTAAACCATCCTTGAGTTGCAGGGTTTCTTTTTTTCACTAAATGTGAATCAAATAAGTGAATAGTCGATTAATCACTGAAGTTTTAGTTACGTCACTAAAAAGGGTCCGATAAAAAACGTCTAACCTAAAAGGTAATCATTGGCAGGTCTAATAAATATTAGGAGACATACAGTTAATTCAATAAATTGTACATTCAGCCGTCTCTAGACCAATATCAGTGATAACCTTAGGACCGATATTTGAATCAACAGTTAATTTTTATTAACTATATTCTACAGTTTGACTTTTGACAGTTTTTAGTATGGAACAATTGCCAAATGTCCAACGTTATTCCTTAGTTAATTAAAATGTATCTGGCGTTAGAATAATCAGCCCTTAAACTATGACTAAAAGGTAATCTATACTAATAATATTATAAAGCTGAAGAGTTTATTTTTTTGTTTGTTTGTTTGAACGCGCTAATCTCCGAAACTACTGGTCCGATTTGAAGCATTCTTTTTATGTTGGATAGCCCATTTATCGGGTAAGACTATAGGCTACGCTCCGATTAACTCGTCGAGTACCGGTTTTGTAGACACAATTATAGAACAATAGGTTGCGGTCACCGGTGACCGCTTGGTGTTTGACAGTTTAATAGGCGCAGGGCGAGTGATACTGCGCGGAAGTAGCTAGTACATAATTAAGAGTTAAATCAATGTTTCGGAAATGTGTCTCAAAGCTTTACATCTGTTCATTGAATAGAGTATTCTCGCATTTAGGATAGAACAATAGTTTCACAAGGGATTCGTTTAATAAGACACAATTTGGCTTGCGTATTCCAATAATTGGACGTACCTAAGCGTAAGATGTTGTGCCGATAATAAGTCTAGTTTTGGTGTACGTGGATAAAAATTGCCTCGTTGCCCGAGGGGGTCACAAAATTGCGCTATCAGGCAAGTGGTGTCCGGTTCGATTCCCAGGTCGGGTAGATTATTACTGTTTTTATTTTTAAATCACAGTTTTAGCAAGGAGTTTGGAATGGTTCCCGGTACATGGCAATAGGCTAGCCACCTATTACATGGGACTCATAACATTAATAGTGAAAAGTGGGTGTTACATTGAATAGTGACATTAAGTGCCGTTATGTGCAACTCTGCCTTCCCTTTTGGGCATAAAAGGCGTGCCTTTGATCCAAGCATCACGATGTTAGGTGTGTAAAAAAATAAATATTACAATAGGTATATTAGATAGATATTGCATTAAGTAAATTAGATATAGTATTAGAAAGCTTAATGTAGACATGAATGCACTGGGCGTACGCCCAGGGAATGTGAAGTGAAGTGAAAAAAATTATAGTCAATGTGACTAAATACTCCTAACTATCTTCAAACACTAAAAACTGATCAAAAAATTGTTCCATTGCGGCAACAAACACACTTTTACAAATGTAATATGAGTAAAGATTGCCATTCCAATCATCATCATCATTATCAATAGCCTATAAATGCCCACTGCTGACCAAAGCCTCTTCTTATACCGAGAAGGTTTGAACATTAGTCACCACGCTTGCTCAATGCGGTTCGGCGATTTCAAATTTATAATTAGAAATAATAAGTCCAGGTTTCCTCACGATGTTTTCCTTCACCGTTTGTCAGTGGTGTCTAAATAATCTTAGAGAGTACGTAGAACTAAAAGTCACATTGGTATTTGCCCTTGGTAGGTTTCGAATCGGCACCCTCATTCATGAGAAGCGGGCGTCTTAAACCTCCGGGCCTAGTGTCGTAGTCGACATACTATTTCAATCAGCCAATGAGTAACTCGGAAGTAGTGTGCGAAGCTTGTAAACATTTACATATAAAATACAGCTTCAACTTTTAATTAATCCAATACGAGTAAAAACCGATACGTAATTACGTAATCAAATCGTTGACCCACTTCTTTCTCATTTTCCTTAAAAGTTTTTTATTAATTGATCTTTACTAATCACGTGTTGACTGCTTCAAGTCAATTTTTCTAAACGAAGTTCAAGAAATATTGGCATTTGTTAACGTATAACTATTAATTGGCGATCACGTTGAATAACTTGAGTAAAATCGAACTTTTGACATCAGTTCTTTAATTTACTAAACGAGTAAAGGTTAATTACTACGTTACATAA